ATATAAAATAAAAATTAAGTGAAAAACATGGTTTTATCACATACGCATGCAATTAATGTTAACAATATGTTATTTTTTTTATGTTAACATTAAAAATATAATTAATTTTAAAGATATTCAATATTGAGCTCGTTTTAAAAGTATCGATGAGACCTTTCTAACGTTGTAATTTGTAAAATAAAATACGTGTTTTTTAATGTATTTTAGCCAATAATTAATTTATATGATAAGAGTATAAAATGAAATTTGAAAGAAAAAAAAAAGTAAATTAAAACCACTAAAGTGTAAGTGTTTACACTTGGGTCATACATTTTTATGGTTTCACGACAACCAGCCAACCATACCCCAAAGAGTAGGTCCGCACGTGCATAGTGGTGAAGCCCAGAGAGATGTGGTGGAATATCTAATCTGTCATAGGTTCGATTTCTAGCGTCCACAACAGTTGTGATAACTAGCGGTGGCAAAAAAAAATGACCAAACCCGCTAAACCTAACCCTAAATTAGCAGGATGGGTTGAGATTTTTAACTCATTTAAATAAATGGGTCAACCCGTCTAACCCATTTAAATAAATGGGTTGGGTTGAATTTTTTGACATGTTTCCAACTCGTTTTCAACCTGTTTCCACCTCATTTAAAGTAAATTATATAATTTTATTTTATTCTTAATATTATATTTAGTATTTTAATTTTTAATTTTGTTTTATTTTTAATTAAAAATTCTATCGTCGTGAGATGAAAGTCCAATCGTCTTCATTACTCTTAATCATCATGAAACCTTAAGCAAATCATTTAGTCAATTACTCCATTATCGTCTCCAAACTTTGGGATTGATGAATGTGGAAGTCGAGTTACTTAGAATTTAAAAAAATTCAATTTATTTTGAACCATATATTTGTTGTGGTTGTGTTGTGTTTTATTTAAAAAAATTTAAATAGTCTAGTCTTTTTTTATTTAAAATTTTAAAATTAAATGGGTTAACCCAAGTTCAACTCATTTATTTAACAGATTGGGTTAAGAAAATTATAAACAAGTCAATCTGTTGTAAACCCATTTAGGTAACAGGTTGAGTTGGGTTGAAAAATCTCAACCCATTTAATTAAATGGGTTGGATTGGGTTGAGTTGAGATTTTCAACCCGTTCAATAAAATGGACTGAACCCGAACCCAACCCAACTTAACCCATTGCCACCCCTACTGATAACTGATTTTATCATGGCTTATTTGTCTTGCAGTCGCCTTTGGGATTAGCCTAAAATACCCTTTAAAAAAAAATTGGAATCACTTTTAAGTAGTAGATATCTAACTAGTTATTCGTACACTTTGTAAGGAACCTTCAATTCAACTCATACTTGGTGTTATCAATCCTAAATCCGTAAGCTCAAGCAATAAGTCTAAGGGTTGTTCGGTTTGTTTTCTATTAACATTTGTATGGATAAAGTTGGCTGTATTGATAAAGTTGTATGTATGATAACAGATAAGTTGTTGTTCGGTTGCAGTGCTAAATAAATACTCTGAATAATATATATGACCATTTTACCCCTTGTTATTTGTCTTTTTCCATAAATAACAAATATTTTAATTTCTTATCATCTCCATGGCATCCCCACCAACCCTCCATCTCTCTGTGCCAACACCTGCACCTCCCATCATCGGCCATCCGCTGGCCCCTCTGTTGTACATCTTCACCCAGATCTAGGTTTTCTTCAAGTTTTCTTTGAGTTTGGGTTGTTAGGGAGAACTTTCAACGGTGTCTTGATGAACTCTTTTGAAGGAAGACACCCATTCATTTTGGTTTTTTAACAGATCTAAAAGCCAAAAAGAACGGTGTTAGGTTAAAGTAATTGAACACCTCGATCTTGGTTTGCATATGACCTGGGCAAAAAAAAACGAAGATTTTGGAGGAAGAAATTGAGCTGTCGAACTCGAGAAGATTTTGCAATAGAAGAAAATAAGGAATAGAGGTTGTAGATCGGGGTTAGAGGAATACATCGGTCGGAGGCTGAGGAATATGTCGGTGGTCAGTTGCCGATCAAAGGTTGTAGTTGACGGCAGCGTGAAGCCATAGAGTGAGGGACTGGAGGGCCGCTGAAAGTTCTCACCGTAGCAAAGGGTAAATAAAGAGTAATTGGGGAAATATTGATGGCTGAGGCCATATGAGTGATGTTTTTGAGCTGAGCGAATAAGCTCTCAGCTGAGTGAAGAAGCCCCAACCGAACAACTTTCTATAGCTGAGCGAATAAGCTATAAGACTTATACATCCCATTAAGCCACAAACAAACAACCCCTGAGTTGCAAGTAGGTTAGACCATCAACCAGTTAGATAAAACAAAGAACTTATAAACATTCTTAAAAAAAACCACAATTCCTTAATTTCCTATTTCCCTTCATCCAAACACCATTGTAAGAAACATGTACAACCTTCAAACACGTAATACACAAAGCAATGTCACACAAGTTCGTATTTCAAAAACGTTAATAACACATTGTATAACATATACATAAACAGATCGTATATAATTTCATAAGTTACACAAACTGAATGCGTAGTTTTTTTCTGTAATTTAGAAGTAACTGTCTTCGTAACCATATTGTAAACCTAACGGAAACTTTGCTAAAAACAGGGAGATATTAGCTTGTAAAAAACCATTGATGTAGTTACCTTTTTTAGTAGTTCTTTGATTGTTCGACAGTCAAATTATAGACAATTCTTGTCCGTGGGTGTGTCTTCTACTATCAGTGAGGATAATGATAATCTCGATACACACTCGTAATGAGGACGTGATGATTGCAGTTAATACAAGCATCTTCTGTGAACTCTAAAAATGGTAATACAACGTTTTCGCGAGAGATACAAAAATAAATTATTGAAGTTTTCGTAGTTGTTTCGTATCATAATTTGTAACTTGGTACGTAAACAATTTGTATTGTTTCATAACAAACTTTGTAGCCGGGTTTTTCAATTGTTAAGATATATACAGTAAGTTAGGGCATGTTTGACAGTTGATGAATGGTTTGATGCAGAATGATTAAGAGGCTCTTATGATATAGTGCAAAATGAAATATAATTGTTTGATAATTATTTATAACGAAATTAGAGCTCTGAATGGTTAAGGGAGACCTAAGATACAAAATCATTCAAAGAGTTTTAGAACCATTAAGAGGCAGACATCTTGTTTTGCGAAACAAAATTCACCTCTTAACGATTCAGAAGATGTCTTTTAATGAAACTATTAAGAGGTAAACAAACAACCCCTTAGATAAAAGTGAACAATAACAAGCATTCTAGAAAAAAACTAAAGGAAAAGACACACAAAGGTGCACATACAGTCTTAAAAAACCGAAAATAACGTTAAAAATATCTGATAATTAGTCTTATCATAATTAGTTTTTCTTGTTTTAGAAATATTTAACGTTAAAAGACAATCCTTCTTTCGGTGAATACTATAATTTAACTATAAAGACAAAAACGATATGATCAGTACCAACACAAAAGCCAATATTATATTTTAGAAAGTTAAACCGGGAAACATAAAAATTTATAAAATTCAAAAACCAATTATTTCATGTATTATTTTTTAATGAATAACTTTTAAAAATTAAGAATATCATGCGTTTTTCGTAATTAATTATATATTATCATGTATTTTTATTACGAAAAATTTCCTTAGTAAGCATCTATCAGTGTATTATCGTGAACAAAGTATAAGTAGTTAGTTTTTATATTTTAATTTACGGTTTTCAGTTGATCCCGTTCTACGTAACCATTTTACATTTAAGCTATCTCATCAAACGTATAACTCATTTGTCAAAGGATAAAACGAGACTCTGTTCAGATACACAATGGATTTAACTGTTAAATCTATTCTAAAATATCTCCTTACATGTAATCTATACTACCTTATAAAACAGATTTATCAAAGTTTTAAAAACAATTTTTAATACACAAAATACTATACATTTACGCATAAAGTCTTAAAAACAACTCATAATGCATTAAGTACTACTAATTTATGCATTCAGTCTTAAAATCTCTTAATCTACTATTAAAATAACATATAGTGCAAGTTACCAATGCACAATATTATCTTTTTTTTTTCATGTTCCCAAGATACTTTTGACACATTTCACTCATGTATTCACCCTCTCATACCTCTGTCTTCTCCCCACCCCCTAAGGTGAGATTCAAACTGATATTCACCATAAGTTATTAAAAGTTCTTTCATTCATCTCTCATTCAGTTGCTCTAAATTTCTCGATCTCTTGATTCTTTGTTCTTGGTGTAAATCGAACATATTTGTGGAGTTGTTTAAATATGTTGAATTTTAAACTGTCATACAATTTTTTTTATCGATAGACTGTAATTAGAACCATAACTTTTATTTTTTCAAATTATATTAATATATAAAGACCAAGTGTAACTTATATCATCATTAAATTATTTTTAATAAAACTAATCAAACTTTAAAATCATTAAAATTACAATTGGCCCACATTAGGCGAGTAGAGAACTAGTTTCTAAAAATCCATTTGACCTTGGAATCTTTTTTTTTGCTACAGCTGGAAAACAGTTTTTTGAACCATAATTTCTTAAATCCTAAATTCAAAAAAAAAAACCCGTCGTAATCATGATGATGTGGTTTCCCCTTTTGCAATAATGACGCATGTGTTTGTATAGTCATTCAAAACCCACCGGTTCCCATTTCGTTTCTCAAACCCCAAATCCAAATCTTGAATTCTTGATTCTTCCACAAGAACAAAACCCACCTGGTTCTCTTTTCTAATCGAAGAACACCCACACAGAAATCATCGATTCAACTCGATTCAATCATGGTTTCCTGCAATTTGCAGAAGGTAAAAGAACCCAGATAAATCATGGTCAATGGTGTGGGGTATACAGATTTCATGGAGATTTGTACTTGATTGAGGACATGTGATCAAAAATCCTTACCAATCCAATCGTCTATTTCTATCTTATCCATTTCGATCATCAAGATACCATTTTTTTACCCTGGTGGGTGTCGATGAATTCATCATTCAAACAATTATACAAAGTTACATCTTGATTCTGTATTATATGATGAAAAATGAACTATAAACAAAGAAAATTGTACATATATATCGACTCAAACGAATTCCTTATCGATTTTCCATCGTAATTTCCCCATATTTTACGTTACCGTATCTATAGCCGTAGCCGTCGCCGTCGCCGCCGTCTCGACGGCGGCTGTGGCGGAGGATAACAGCTTTTTGGGGGGAAGCAGCATAGATCTGCACAAAGGGCAAGTCACTTGACCTTCATCTACCCATCTATCTAAACACTCTTTATGGAAGACATGCCTGCAATTCCGAAGCTCTCTGATGGGATCGTCGGCATGAACGGAGTCCAAGCAGACGGAGCAGACGGTGTTCTCGGCTCCTCCAAATCGGGCGGCGAAATCGGAGTAGGGAGTGATGGGGACCTTGTTTTTAATGGAGGCAGTGACGACGTGGACGGGGACGGGGAGGAGGGAGGGGGATGAACCGTCCAAGATGAGGACGTAATTGCCGGCGGTGGAGGTGTAATCGTCGGGATCCGGCGGCGATTTGAAGAGGCCGAGGTGAGAGAGTGCTGATAGTAGGAGTGATACGAGACGGGATGCGATGTTTGCAAAGATTGTAATGGTGATTGCTTGTGGAATCTTGATTGCTAGATAGAAAAACCCCATGGATGTCTGGAATTGAATCAGATAAAGCTTACAGAAAATGGATATGGCGTCGATTTATAGAAGGAGAAGGAGAAGGAGAAGGAGAAAGGGGCCGTTTCTATTTTTATTTTATTCCTAATACAACATTTAATTGAAAGCAAAGTTTCAATTCTTTATGTTTCCTGTACAATAAAGGGATTTTTAAACAACTAATTATAACTTAGAAGAGTTTAAATTTTTTAAAAATTTATTATTATCGGTTTGACATCGATATAAGTTGTTTATCCAAACACTTAAAAATACTTATTATCGGTGTCATATAGAAATAAGTCAATAAGTTGTTTTTATAAGCAATATCAAACACTCTCCAAATATTAAATATCAAATGGGCATCGCTATTTACACTCTTTTAATGTTAAAATCAGTTTAAATATTGTACTAAAAATGTAAAAAATAAGTCTTAATATTGATATGCGTGAAAAAGAAATCACTAGATAAGGGTGTAATTAATCCACCCCATATCAAACATGGTTTATCGGAGAATTTTTGATGGGGACAATATTGTATGAAATTAAATCAACCAATATGTGTATTAATCATACTAATTAAAATTTGGTACCAATTTAATTGATATTAATAATAATCGGTTAATAGTATTGTATTAAGTATCTAAACTTGATTACCAAAGGGTCTTTGGCTTAGCGGTATGTGAGTCATTGACCTTTTAGAAAGTCAAATGTTCAAACCTCACCAAATGTGAAGAGGGTGTGTGAGTTTATTTGTTATATTTATCGTATATAAATATTATATACTTCAAAAAAAAGTATCTAAACTTGGTTGGTATACGGTGTTGGAAGTTGCGTATCACGGTAGTACCATGATACCGACTTATTTAATTATTTATTAAATGTTAAACTTTGTAATTATAACTATTTTTGTTTGAACATTTAAATGTTTGTGGGGTTTAATTCCTTACAATTAAAAGCCTTTAAACATCACGTGTTACCTGAAAACTCAAATAGTCGCTTAAAATTTGAATATAGTGACAAGTTTTCATATATGTAACTTAAGTTGATACAAAACTACTACCAACATGTATCAACGGAAAGAGTTGCTACTAGTTAAGTTGGTACCAGTTGGTTGGTACATGGTGTATGATTTTACATAGCAATTATAATTAGTCGGTACAAGATATTGGAGAAAAAAAGACTTAGTACCGTACCAGCTTTATCATAAAAGGGTAAATACATCTATGCCTTTTAATTTTTCATTCATATATTTATTTTTTATATTTTCGATATATGATTTGACTCAATTTTAATAACAAATGTTAAATACAATTTTTTTTTGTTGTATAAGTAATCAATGGAAATGAAAATATAAAAAAAAAAACTGTTTTTTTAAATCTGTCAAATAAAAGAAACTATTTCGTTTTCTATAATATAATGAACCCATTCCTCCAAAAGTCTAAATTCTCATTCCAGATTAAATCGGTGAATGAAAATTCATTCTCATTTTCATTTCTTGTCATTTTTTCATTTTCATTTCCATTTTTCATTCATATGGATGAACTTAGAACCCAACAATCCCTTATGTTGTGTACATTGATCTTCCAAAAAAATACAACTAGGGTGCTCATCGATTAAGTTGATCAGATAGAAGACATTTGAACAACTCAACACAATGCTTACAGTTTGAAAAATCTTAATCCAACCAACGGAAACCAAAGTGCAACCCAACCTAAACCGTACGGGTTGATACTTTGATATATTAAAATACTCTTCTAACCTTGAATATGTAATTTCTCTACTCATAATTTTTTTCATCATCAACCATTTGATACAACTTATACATACTTCTTACGTATATCACATTCAATTAATTTTCTCAATTTACATATAAATATTCACAATTATTAAACATATATACGAATAAGTTATATAGAAATGGAAAATATATTGAAAATATGTATATATGAAGAGCATATATGATAGTGTAATTCTCTAATGTATATATATTGATATAAACTCAACAATCATATTAAATCCAAGAAATAAAAGGATATCGGGTCCATCGGGTTGAGTTTGGTTCAAATAATAGTAACTCAATACCTAGGGTTTGAAAATTTTACAACTCGATTAGCCATCGTGTTGAGTTATTTCGCGTTGGGTTGATCGGGTTTTTGAGCACCTCTACATACAACTATTGAAACTATGTATGCACTCTAAAATACAGAGTGAACTACATTGGTGGTCTTTATTGTTTGCTCGAATTTTGGACTTATTCTTTAAAACAAACTATTTATATTGATGGTTCATAACTTTTCAATTTCATAATATTCATATACCGTAAAGTTAATATCGTCAGTTAGTAATCATCACGAGGGACATATCAGCTTTCGGGCAAATTACACGAACCAAAACTGATTTACTCTAAAATTAATTGTGATTCACATATTTTTTTATAAATTTTCTTTATTAAAAATTATTTTTAAGTACGATTAACATTTTTTATTATCATATTAATTTAATTGTTGTACATTATTCAAAATTATTTGATAATTCGTTTTTAATAATATCTCATAATATCTGAACTCTTAAAACATGATTATATTTTCATAAAAAAAAAATTATCCCAAGGAAGAAATTTTAACGTATAACTATCTCGCAATTAAATTTAGAGTGAATTTTACATTTTTGGTCCCTATAATTTGCCTAAATACTGCTTTGTCTCTCATAAAGATTGCTAACCGACTTAATTTGAAGGATTTTGCGTGTTATGAAATTGAAAGATTAAGAACCATTATTGTAGATAGTTATTTCTAAAGATTAAATCCAAAATTTAAGTGAATCACATTATGTAATTCACTCAAAATATAATAATTTAAAGGAATAAAATATGCAAAATAAATTTGAATTTGAAGGGGTAAATGAATAAAGATATGAAACTTGGGTGTCAAATGTCAATATGAAAAACAACAAGGACCTGTTTTGCCAGGTTGACGAAGTTTTGAATTTGAATCGGGTAAATAGTCCCCAAACGCGATTTGACAGCCAAAATTCTGATTAAAACACCCCTTAAGGTGCGTTTGGTTTGTATTAATGTTTCTGAGGGATTTGGATTCCATGGGATTTGGATTGGATTGGATTTAAAATCCATTCATGTGTTTAGTTTGCAGGATTTGGATTTGATTTGAAATCCATTCATCTGTTTGGTTTGTAGGATTTGGATTTAGATTTTTTTTTTGTAATTATTTTAATCACCAAATCTCTTTCATTTTCTTAAATCTATCTATTTAACCAACAAACCTAAAAATTTAACAATCAAACCTTTTCATCCATAATGCATATTTAACAATCAAACCTAAAAATTGATGAGGCACAATGTGAAAACAATTAAGCAGTAAGCATTTGGATCAAACRGYCATCACTGATGTAAAAAGGCATTTTGAACAAAAACTCTAGTATCAAAGACATGGAACCAGTTAAACACTACTTGAGGGTTGAGGTATTTATAAATGATTCTGGTTAAACTCTAGTATCAAAGACATGGAACCAATTAAACACTATCAGAATTTGGTTAACTGCTATGGTAAAACACACAAGATAACAAATGGATAGAGGCTAGAGGGAAAAGGGGGAGTGGGAAAATGTTATGAACCAGATTTACTGAACAACTAAAATAAAAGGAATAGGGCAGAACAGTAGGAAACTAGTTGAGAGGCTAGACTCTACCAAAAACAAACTCAACAATTTTTTGGATACCTTTACACGCCCCTGTTTATACTATAATGCATGACAGCAAATTAGGGCAGAACCCTTGTGTATTTTCAAGTAAGTTTTCTATCTTTACTACACCTTTGTGTTGTGCTTCATTCTAAGGTGCTTATCCAGAAATTGTTTGTAAATAACTTTGGCTATAAAGATGGATTTGTGCCCTAACAATTGGTTACTGTTTTGTCTTCAAGAAGGGGAAAGTGCAAACACAACTTTGAGATAATTTGGGTCCTCTAAATAACTGAATCGAGCATGTCTAATGCTATACAAAAGGGGTTATATGATTTACCTGCTGAGTGATGGGAGACGTCGGCAAACAGGAAGGGAGGTTTAGGGAGCAGCTTCGCGAGGGGAAAGGAAGACAGCACCGGCGAGGAGGCAAACCGATTAGGGCACAGCTTCGCAAGGGACGGGACGGGAAGGGAGCACCGGCGAGGAAGATTGATTAGGGCGGGAGGAAGCGATGGGAGGGAAGCGATGGGAGGGAAGCGATGGGAGAGAAGCGATGGGAGGGAAGCGATGGGTGAAGGAAGCGGGAGGAAGGTGGGTGAAGGATTCGACAGGAATCGATGGGGAGAAGCCCAGATTTGGATTTCAAATCCCGCTAGTTTGCAATGGATTTCCAAAACCCGCTTCTAATGGATTTTAATGAAATCCCAGGATTCCAAATCCCTCCAATTTGGCAAACCAAGCACAGGATTGGAATGGATTTCAAATCCAAATCCCCCCAATTCCATTCCAATCCCGCAAACCAAACGCACCCTTAGAATTTATGATTTATAGAGCGAAAATATAACAAAAACCTCAATTTCATCCCAAACTGTTGAAAAAGACTGTTGGGTATATCAGTGTGTTGAACTTAAATGTATCCCAAACTGTTGAAAAAGGTTGTTGGGTATATCAATGCGTTGAACTTAAATGTGGATCAAGTACATAAGTGGTTAAAATTGGACCATCTTTTTTGCGTTGCTAGTGTGATGCCTGTTTCATTATGTTGTTGGGTAAAAATTACAGATTTGGTTCCTCAAATAAATTAATTACAAGGGAGGTAAATATTGTTTGTATTTTATTACGGAGCAGGTCACTTCTATTGATTTTGTTAAACAAGGGATATATTGATCAATAGCCATAGTGGCAAACAAAAAAAAAATCGATCCCCCGACAGGAAAAAAAGACTAGATTTTATTATAATTGTGTATGATTGTCATTTTACTTGTTGTCCAAAAATTCTCTAACTGGTCCTCACCGGTCTCGGGCCTT